TATTGTAGAACTTCTAAGTATATTTAGATCAACTCGGGTATGTGCATCCACTTTTCCCAGTGAAAATATAGAATTTCGCTATATGTATGTATATAAAATACACACCAGATTTGGAAGACAGGATGAGAAAAACAATGTAAAATATCTCATTAATACTTTATATTGATTACATGTTGAAATTATAATATTATGGATATACTGAGTTAAAATATATTCTCAAAATTATTTTCACTTTTTACTTTTTTAATGCAACTGCTAGAAAATTTAAAAGTACAGATGTGGCTGCTATCACATTCCTGTTGGGCAGTGCCACTCTAATGCCTTCTCACTCGAAGTAGGGTCCATGGGCTGGCAACACCTGCCAGGGAGCTTGTCAGAAATGCAGACTCTCAGGCACACACAGACTGAGTCAGCATCTTCATGGTAGTAAGATTCCCTAGGCCGTTCTTAACAAGATTAAGAAGCACTGGTCTAGAGAGCTGTGCTTCTCAAACTGTGGACAACAACCAGGTTTTTTTAAAATTCCCAATTAATTACAGGCTACTGTTTGTCAGATATAATAAAAATAAATTATTTTTAAAAATGAAAATGGCACAAATAAAAGTGTATAAAATATAAATTCAGGCCAGGCACAGTGGCCACAGTGACTCACACCTGTAATCCTAGCACTCTGGGAGGCCAAGGCAGGATGATCCCTTGAGGTCAGGAGTTCGAGACCAGACTGAGCAAGAGCAAGACCCCCATCTCCACTAAAAATGGAAATAATTAGCTAGGAACTACTGAAAAAAAAAAAAGAGAGAGAGAGAAAATTAGCCGGGCATGGTGGTGCTCACCTGTAGTCCCAGCTACTTGGGAGGCCAAGGCAGGAAGATCGCTTGAGCCCAGGAGTTTGAGGTTGCTGTGAGCTAGGCTGATGCCATGGCACTCTAGCCTGAGCAACAGAGTGAGACTCTGTCTCAAATATATATATATATATAAATTCAAAATTGTATAGAGTGAGAAGTCATAAAATTAATTTCAACAAATGTCATTAAATAATGTAGAAATAAGAGAAAACAATTACAAGAAAAGGACATATTGTTCTTTGAAAATGTGCACTAGGCAATTAATATAGAGAATCACCACTATACTTGTATCTTTTTGCCAAACAAGCAAAACATGTTTTGTGAAATAGAGAGTTCTTCATATTAAACAATTATAAGCACACTTCAAATACACATTGTTTATATTCCTATCTAAGGTTTCTAATGTGACAGTGAAGCTTGCTTCTTGCTTGTCAATTTTTCTAATCCACACTGGATGGATAACAGTGCTCTTCCGGCAGGGGCAAGATGGCTGAATAGAGACATCAGTCACCAGATTGTCTCAGAAAGAAGGAAAAGTTTTAGATTTAAAAAAAAAAAAACATAGCTCAGGTGTGATTCTGAGGTAAAAGTGCCAGAACCTGCCAGAGATCCCATGGGAAAAAGTTGCAGAGCAGAACAAGAAGGAACAAGGTCTTGGCAGAGATCAACTCTCAGAAACTTGGAGCCGCGAGGAAAGGGCAGGTGAAGGTTTGTTTCTCCCCCCTCACACCTTTGGCAGTTGGCGGGCGTCTGAGCTGCTGGAGAGCTTCTCTACCCTCACAAGCCCCAACGCCGCTGCCGCCAGTGAACTGGGAGCTCCTTGAGAACAAAGCACTGGGCAGCCAACCCCCTCGGGGTGGCTCCCCCTCCCACACCCCTGAGCTGAGGTGGCGGGTGCCCTACTGCTTCTCCAGCCACTGTGTGTCTTTGTCCTCTCCAGGGAGCCTCAGCCCCTCAGTTTTTGTGTCATTGTCCCCACACAGATGTTTCCCAACTCCTGCCCAGACTGTAATAGACAAAGCAGACAATAACACACACTGGGAAATAGAAGCCCTGTTCAATAAGTGATGTTGAGAACATTGGGGTAGCCACAGCCAGAAACATAAAATGGACCCCTAATCTCTCACGATATACAAAAATTAATTCAAGATGCATTAAAGACTTAAACGTAAGGCATGAAACCATAAAAATTCTAGAAGAAAACAGGGAAAGCTCTTCTAGATATCAGCCTAGGCAAAGAATTTATGATGAAGACCCCAATGGCAAATATAGCAACAACAACAATAAATAAATGGGATTTTTATCAAATTAAAAATTTCTGCACAGCAAAGGAAACTATCACCAGAGTGGATAGACAGCCTACGGACTGAGTGAAAATATTCACAAATTATACATCTGACAAAGGACTAATACCAGAATCTACAAAGAACTCAAACAAATCCATAAGAAAAACAAACAATCCCATCAAAAAGTGGGCAAAAGGCATGAATGTTAATTTTTCAAAAGAAGATAGATAAATGGCCAAAAAACATGAAAAAAACACTCAACATCACCAATCATCAGGGAAATGCAAATTAACACTATAATGAGATACTACCTTACCCTTATCATAATTGCCATTACTAAAAAAGTCAAAAAACAATAGATGCTGGTGTGGATGCAGAGAGAAGGGAACGCTTATGCACTGTTGGTGGGACTGCAAATTAGTATAACTTCTATAGAAAACAGTATGGAGATTTCTCAAAGAAAAATGTAGACTTATCATTCAATCCAGCAATCCCACTGCTGGGTATCTAACCAGAGGAAAGAAAGTCATTTTATCAAAAAGACTCCTACACTCAAATGTTTATCACAGCCCAATTCACAATTGCAAAGATGTGGAATCAACCTAAGTGCCCATCAATTCATGAATGGATAAAGAAAACACGGTGTGTGTGTGTATGTGCATGTGTGTACACATATGTACTACCCAGCCATAAAAAGGAATGCTGGAGACCATTATCCTAAGTGAAGTATCTCAGGAATGAAAACCCCAACACCATATGTTCTCACTAATCAGTGGGAGCTAATGGATGGGTACACACAGACACAAAGCCATATAAAGGACATGAGAAACCAAGAAGGGGGGAGGATGAGAGGGTGGGTGAGGGATAAAAACTTACCTATTGGATACAAGGAACACTATTCTGGTGATGGGCACACCAAAAGCCCTGGCTTAAGTTTTATACAAGGTATCCATGTAAAAAAAAACAACACTCGTACCCCCTTAATTAATATTTTGAAGTAAAAAATAATAATAATAAAATATTTTTAAAAAGCAATGCTCTTTGCAGGGGATAATGTATATCTAAATTATTTACGTAGTGCTTAATAATATTCAAAGCAGAGAAACTAGATTCACAGAGGTATATTGATTGGAATGGAAGAAGAGATGTTAATGCAATCTCAGCAAAGTCAGTGTATTTTTTTTAACTGCTATCCAAAATAAAGCAGATAGTGCTGTCTTTTTAAAATTCATCTTCAATCTTTGATCAGTAGCCAGTTCAAATAATGTATACTGTAAGGTTATAGTTAAAAATACATTATCTTTCCATGAAATAAAATGATTTCAGATTTTACACACTTTTGAATAACAGTTTTCAAACTAACCTTAAAACATCACACGTTATAATGCAGTCCTACTACACATGACGAGTACATAGCTCAAACTCTTCTCACAAATTAGACAAAACCAAAACTGATCTATGTTCTGTTCAACAAAAAGGAGTCCACATGGTTGAATACTAAGCAATGTCAAATTATTGCTATAAAAGTTTCTAAACGCTTACTCTCAATTTCTGTATTTATGTGATAACAGACTAGTAACTAACAGTCCATATCAGTACTGCTCTGTAGACTGCATATGACTAGCACTGCTTTATACAGTCCAGCAGAATCAAAAATCAAGATTTAGTAGTCTTTCTCAGAAGCCTTTTAGCACCCAATTTTTGAGACGTATTCTGGATAAGTGAGGCTGTCAAATTTGGGGCCACAGATAAGCAGGTTATAGTCAACTCCTATCAGTTGGTGAGATCAGTAACAGTAAACCACAGAGATATGCTTATAATTTTATTCTCTATGATTGCTGTATATTTTATGCAGATCTAGGTTCTAATCCTTTGGGGAAAGAGGGTAAGCCCACTTCATCTGTGAGGTTTATGTTCATGTTTCCACTTGTTTACATAAATGAAATAATTTTTATTTATAGGAAAAATGAACTATACATATCCAAGATGGTAAATAATATTAAAGTACTTTCAAGACTTTCCAAGATTTTTCAAGACTTTCCCCTTGAAATCAGGAGACTAATTCTCCATAATACCACACAAAAGACAGAGGCAATGTATATTAAAGACATTACTAAAGCTGCTTATTATCCAACCTTGTGGTAGTCTTATGAGATGTTGATGCTTGTTGGTTAATTGAGTAGAAACTGGGGGTGGGAAATTGTTTAGTGTTAAGCCATGCACACAGTAGTCCAATCTGAAACCTTTGACTTGTTTCTTCTCATAATCCCTAAATCTAATTGATCTCACAGTCCTATGGTGTGGATGCAGACAGAAGGGAACGCTTATGCACTGTTGGTGGGACTGCAAATTAGTATAACTTCTATACTACTTACTACCTTACTGCCTTCTCACAAATCCCACCTCCCTGGGTTCTGACTGTCCTTGCCTCTGCTTAGTCCCTCATTAGCAATCAAGTGGATTCATGTTTCAGGTTCTTAACTCACCTCCTTCCTTTTTTTCCAGCCCCCTCTAATTCATTTCTTTGTAGAACCAAAATTATCTTTCCAAAGTTTAATGCGAATCACTTCCATGTTTAAAACATTCAGTAGACTGCCTTAACCTTCCTATAAAACCCAAATTCCTTAACTTTGGATACAAGATCATTCATAATCTGAGCCCCTCTTTTCCACAATAATTTCAAGAATACCTCATGAAACCAAAGTACCTAGCCATTGTCCATCATCCAAATACTACTTCCTGCCTCCCTTCTATTTCCATATTCTCCTTTACTTTGTAGTGATAGTGTGTGAATCTGGACAGGTGAGTTCATCCCAGGTTAATTTTTTAACATGCAGTGAATGTTCATGTGTGGGAATTGTTTGTACAGGAACATGTTGAAGAAGGCAGAGCCAGTCTCTACAAGTCTGTGGTTTCCAACAGCTCCAAGGAGATGTCCTGTTACTCAGACTTTCCATTCCCAGAAGATTATCCAAACTATGTGCCAAATTCTCAATTTCTTGAATATCTCAAAATGTATGCAAACCGGTTCAACCTTCTGAAATGCATTCAATTCAAGGTAAGACATGAAACCTCAGTTAGTAGTCAGACAGTGTTTTCTTCCCTCTTTTCTGTTACTTCTCTATAGCCCAGCCCTGGGCTCCGTAGACAAGATTTTGAACTGACAAGATTAATGACACCTGCCTAGATTTCTTTTCCTGTTATGTTCACCCTCCACCCCAAGTAAATCTGAAGGTGAGGGTGGTTACTTTGTGTAAAGGTTCACATGTATAAAATATTAGTTTGTCATATTTACATCCAAGTATCCTAAGGGACCTAAAAAATGTCAAACCACATTTTCAGCTTGCACCAAATGCCTACACACATGAACACTGACCACTCCTACCAGCTCCTTGGGTACTCTCTTCTTGACTACACATTTTTAGGAATGGGCATGTGCAATGTTCCATACACAAGAGAACTTCACTATTAAAAGGAATCTTTTCTAGATATTTTTGGGAATAGAAAAATCTTTGAATATTGTTCTTCTCCTAGGCCCTCTTTCCTTCCCATTTCAGAGGTTGGAGACAGGAGAAAGACAGAAGGACAGCAACAAAGGAATATATTTTCTTTCTCTTCTTTCTTTTTTCTTTTTTTGGGGGGAGGGGCTCTTTTTCCAAGAAACACATAGAAATCCATGTATTTCCCTTCTCCTATCTCCCTCCCCTATCAGAGATGAGGATGTGAGGAATTCCTAGGGAATGACACACAAAAAAACAACATAAATGGAGTCATTGACCAAAACAAGTGGCAAATAAGAATAACATTCATATTCACAGTTTTAAAAGTTTTCTTAAAACACTCCATGGTCAAGGAGTATTTTATCCCACTTCCTTATTTTGCAAGAGATGTAGTAAAAATAAAGTACTACTAAGTGAATGAATATAACCCACAAAAATTTTTGTATAAAGTGTATCAGAATTCCTGAATCTACAACATTTTTTTCTGCATGCTGCCCAAGACCTTTTAAAAACAATTTTTAGAAATTTTTTAAAGTATATACAAGCAGCTGTCTCTGAGAGGTGATCTGTGGTTGATATTTGTGTGGTTTTGTTTATCATTCTTCTCTATGCATTCCAAATTTTCAGTGATGAACATTTATTATTTTATGCTTACAAATAAATTTTCTTTTGAAAGGTTTAAGTTAACTGAAAATTTATTTTTAGAAAGACAGAGTTGCTAATACAAATGTAGAAACCCAATAAGCACTTTGAATATTATAAACCAAACAGTGAACCCATTAGAAGGGACTTGAGAAGGCTGTCTTCTTTAAAAACTTTGAAAAGAAAGGCAGCAAAGCCTCTTGGTCAGTGAATAATTTATGCTTTTAAATTTTATTTGTATTAGATTATTTGTACATATATTTCCTGAATCAAAAAGATAGTACTGCTTTTAAATTTTATTTGTATTAGATTATTTGTACATATATTTCCTGAATCAAAAAGATAGTACTTATGGATATATACTCAATGAGAACAAAAAATAGACTATTAGAAATCTGGACTACTTCCAAAAAATTCAGGCCATAAGGTTAGCACTTTTCAATAGTTCTGTAGATCTAGGAAAACTTCAGCAACATTTTGTAAGATCTTTTATAAACTAAGATATGTGGGGCCAAATTCATGTTTTCAATTATGTAATACTCACATCTCTATTAAAAGGAACTATTGTTAAAGAGAGACGATGAGAAATCAGGCTTTATAACAGAAAGGATAATGAAAAAGACTTCAGAAACCTAGGTTATAATCCTAGTTTTATCACTTGCTGTGAGAAGTGGAGCAAATCACTTAAAATCTTTGGAAGCCACTACTTCTCTTAGATACCCCGCCAAGCTTACATACTCCCATCCATGAAATCATGATAGTCTAATAGCCTGATTAGGATTCTAGGATCATGCTTATTCATTATGTTTAGTCTGTGCTCTATAGAACTTTTGAAATGCCAACTGGTACATCAACAAGCAAGCCCTTAATGGAAGCTTGACAACTGCTAATCATATCCGTGATCCTTTTCTCTAGACCAAAGTCTGCAGCATAACAAAATGCCCAGATTTTCCTGTCTCTGGCCAATGGGAGGTGGTCACTCTGTGCGAAGGGAAGCACGAATCAGCCATCTTCGACGCTGTCATGGTCTGCACTGGTTTTCTTACCAACCCTTATTTGCCGCTGGATTCCTTTCCAGGTACAGCATTTTCTGCACCTGCCCTTGAGTTGCTTCATGGGAGCCACCCTGATACTTGATTGGTCTGGGAATGAATTCCATTACATAGTTAAAGATGTGAGGTAACAGGAGTTTTTTCTAACCAGCACTTTCTGGCCAGTTTTTGGCTTTCATTTGTTCCAAACAACTTACGAGTGTAGAAGAGCAAAATGGATAACTTAATAAGCAGTTTTATGCTTCACTGAGATTCAATGTCCCTCCATAAGTGACTGGCCACACTCAGAAAGTCTTCAAAGACAGGGTGCTTGGACAAGTTCCTGGCCTCAGCTGCAGCTGCACATTGTCAAAGTTGAGTTTAGAGGCCCCAAAGGCAATCTGTAGAAAAAGAAAAATGTAATTTGATTTTTTTGTGTGTTTGCTCATTTTATATGAGCCATAGCAATTAGCTAGATAAAAGGTTTCTGGCACTGGATTAATAGTCAACAGAGAGATTAGTTTCAAGAGACAAGTTAAGACATCTTTGGGTTTAAGTTTCTTTATCTGGCTTTTGCAACCACGAGTCACGGTAGTTTACGCCAGATTTTAACTGGGTTTCAATTCAAGGGAATAGAAAATGTATGTAATAGTTTTGTTTACTTTATCTGTAGTAAGCATCCAATGAGTTAAAACTTTCAGAAACGTTTTCCAAATCATCTAGATATGGCCTAGAGTGATCCAAGTGGATAAGACAATAGGTAGCCTGTATTGCAGGAGTGAATAGAGTTTACGCAGTTCAGTGCATCACCTGGAATGATAGTAATGCTCATTTTGCAGGAAACTCACACAACTCCTGTAACCATAGGAATATAGGATCTGCCTGGATCTTCACCCAAAAGTGATGCAAGTTGTATCGTATTAAGATAAAGCATACCCTGAAAGCAACTGAGCCAATGTTCTCAATCTGAATAGATGAGCTTGAGACCCATGAAGGAGGAATTCTAGGCTGTACAACTACCTGGCTTATAATCTTGGGTCTCCCACTTAACCTTTCTAAGCCTCTGTTTTTTCACCCATAAACTGAGGAACTTGGATCACTTTTCCCAACAGTATATATCACAAATCAAGCAAAAAGAGCTCTACAAGACTTATAGTCTTTCTTAAAAATCCATCTTACCAGCCACTACCAATTTAAAGTCCCTGGATAAATGATTGTTAAGGAGACTTTGAGCTCTAAAGTTCTGTGATTTTAAACTTGAAAAGGAGTTCTCTTAACCCCACCATCTCCCTCCCTCTCTTCAAAACATGCTTAGTCTATATATACTTCTTGAGAGGGTTGTTAACTGTCAAAAATTCACTAAAGATATTAAAATGTGTATCACAAGCTCTAGAAGCAATTCCAAAAGAGGTATTCCAAAAAGTCTTAGAAAAAGAATAGGTATCACAGTTAGAATAAATTATAATTTCCCAAGATGGTTACATTTATTCATTCAGGTATATACATTCTGGTGTTTACTAACACAGCCACATTCACCTAACGTAAGTTCTTACTCTGTCCTCCTATAAGAGGGGAAAGTATTAGTCTGATAGGAGACTCAGCCATAGAGCTTCATTTTTGTCAATTTGTGACTCAAAACAGCCTAGTCCTGAGAGATTCTAAAATAATATGAGATCCAGAGATAATTTTATTATTCTCCTTAGGGTTTTCCAGTTCTCCCTTCTCAGCAGTTCTCTGATCCATATTGGGTTTCTTGCCTGAGTTAATATTTGAACTTGGTTGCATCCTTGCTAAATTCTAAATGCTCTGTACTGTGGTTAGGTTTTAACTAGGATTCGTGTTAGATTTCTATTGAGTCAAAGTGAGCCGAAGAGCCACCAGGCCTTGGTAAGGCCACTTCCCACAAGTATACATATTTCTCCCCTCAGAATCTATAGAGGTCTTATCACTTTTTCTAGAAAAACAAAAAAAAGTTCTTTGATTAGCACTTATTACTTCTGAATGTATAACGTGGCCTTGAGGGTATTTCCAAATACTCTCCGTTCACACTTGATGTTTCAACAGTAGTTGGCATCACTGCCTCAGATATCCTATCAAATTATTGAATCTTAGTGTACTAACGCAATCCCTTTTTCTCTGAGCCAACTGTGGCCAACTCAGCAAACTCGGCCTGAGTTACCGACAGTCACCAAGGTGCACTATCAATGAACTTCCCGCACTCACACGAATCTTTGTGAATAGGGACTGCATCTCATTTACCTTATTTCCCCCACATCATTTAGCACAGTGCTGGGCACATAGCAGATGTCCAAAAATGTTTGCTGAATAGAGACACTAACTCACAGTTCCCTTAAATGTCTTTGTTCTTGCTCCTTGCTTGTGAAAAGCTTATCTAAATCAAATATTAGTAAATAGATTCTTATTGTCCCATTAACAACCATTAAAGCAATCATGACTCCTTATACTTTTGCTTAATATGTCTTGATGCCATAATATTTTAGCTTAGTTGTTAATCATCTAATAAGTAATACTAGAGGTCTATCTAGTGAGATTAAGTAATTACCCCATTAAATAAATAAATAAATGCCAGCTAATACCTTTTTTTTTTTTTTTTTTTTAAGAGATAGGGTCTCATTCTGTCACCCAGACTGGAGTGCAGTGGTGTAATCATAACTCGTTATAACCTTGAACTCTTGAGCTCAAGCGCTCCTCCCACCTCAGCTCAGCCTCCCAAGTAGCTGGGACTACAGAAGCACACCACCATGTCCATAACAAATAATGCCCATTAAAAATAATAATGTTTTTATTTTTTGTAGAGACAGGAGTCTCGCTATGTTTCCCAGGCTGTTCTCAAACTCCTGGCCTCAAGTTATCCTCCCACCTCAGCCTCTCAAAGTGCTGGGATTATTTCAAAGAGTTGGGATTACAGGTGTGAGCCATCATGCCTGGCCATCCACTAATGTTTTATAAATTTATGTATTCATAATTTAGATTTCCTCAAAACTTGAGCATACTAGTAAAAACAAACTAAACCATCAGTCAAAAGGATGTTATCGATCGAAAACTATTTATGTTTCATTCAGTTATCCTGTAAATTCTGTTTCACTTCTTGCATTTTTCCTATAGGTATAAATGCCTTTAAAGGACAGTACTTTCATAGCCGGCAATATAAGCATCCAGATATATTTAAGGACAAGAGAGTCCTTGTGGTTGGAATGGGAAACTCCGGCACAGACATTGCAGTGGAGGCCAGCCACCTGGCAAAAAAGGTACCATTCTTGATGTTGCTTAAAGAGCTTTATCTTAAGATGCATGCCTCGATCAAACAGTGTTTGACACCATGATAAATATTAAGGAGCAAAAATATTTAACACACACACACAACAGATTGCTATTTATTTTTTGTCAAATTTTCATAAATTTTACTATGAATTCCATTTGTCATCTTTCCTGCAAAACCAACTCCTCCGATTTCTTTTTGTCATTTTCCCAGCCATCCAGCAAGAACTACAGGACACGTCTCTTCTTTACTCAGTGCCATAGGTCAGAAAATCCTGGCAGTTTTTCCTGGCTACACGCCCCCATTTGTCCCTTCCTTGCCTTCTTGATTGGCACCACCCTCATCAGGTCCACACAGTGAGGCGATTGCATTGTTCTCCTAATAACAACTGTAGGAATTGTTAATATTTATTGGGATCGCTCTGTGGCAAGCACTGCACTAAATGCTTTTTACTGCGTCACTTCAACCAATCATCAGAACAAGCCATTGAAGTAGGTACTATTAGTATCCCTGACTGCAGATGAGGAAGCCAGGGCTTAGAGCAGTTAAGGAAGCTGCCGGAAGTCATACCACTAGCAGATACTAGAGCCAGTCCTTAAGCCCTAGTTTCTTTAAGCCAAAGCCCATGCTCCGAACTCTGCCCTGCACCCCTGCACCGCTACCTACAGCCCATGCTCCCACTCGCAAGCCGACCAGACCCCAGCCACCAACAAACAAGTCCGCAGACAAGGCTGCTCTCATTATGACACCCTCATATTGAAAAACTTCTAATAACTCTCATTATCTGAAAAAAAATACATAGCAGATATAGTAGCTCTGCATGATAGAGTTTTCCATAATCTTGTCCACATCTACCATTTTAACTTTAACTGTGCTGTTTCCTGCATGGTCATCAGCTACAGCCAAGCAGGTCTACCCTGTGGCTCTTTCCAGCTCCTGTGTTATGTTTCTCCTTTACTCACACCAGCCCCCTCCCCTCCACAGAGCCCTTTCCCTTCTGTTACAATCTGCCTTTACATTCCCAGATATCTCATCCCAACACAAGTGATCTCTCCCCATTCAGAATGCATGTACTATTATAAGTTGCAGCCCTCAACTGGCACTTTTTAATTCTTAGTATTGCTAATTACCTTTTATAGTATACATTTTCTTTCCAACTATGCTGTAAACTCATAGAACCACTCAGCTAACTAATATATATTAGTTGTTGGCTTCTAACGTGCTAAATGTTGTGCCAGGCACTAGAGATATATTGGCAAACACAACAACAACAAAAACAAGATCCCCAGTGTCTTGGAGCATATTGTTTCGGGAAAAACAAATGCCAAATAAATAAGTATAAATAATTACACCAATAATTGCAAGAGTGAAAAATCGTTGTGAAGAAAAAAGATTGGGAGTATGTGACTTTATATTGCCTTCTGGGACTTTTCAAAAAGGACTTGATGGGCAGCGCAGTAGCTCATGCCTGCAATCCTAGCACTCTGGGAGGCCACGGCAGGTGGATCGTTTGAGCTCAGGAGTTCTAGAACAGCCTGAGCAAGAGCAAGACCCCATCTCTACTAAAAAAATATAGAAAGAAATTATCTGGACAACTAAGAATATATATATAGAAAAAATTAGCCGGGCATGGTGGCACATGCCTGTAGTCCCAGCTACTCAGGAGGCTGAGGCAGGAGGATTGCTTGAGCCCAGGAGTTTGAGGTTGCTGTGAGCTAGGCTGATGCCACAGCACTCACTCTAGCCTGGGCAGCAGAGTGAGACTCTGTCTCAAAAAAAAAAAACAAACAAAAAAAAGGACTTGATGATTGATTCATTGATTGATAGTTTTATTAATTGATTTGAAGAAACTTAGCAATTTGGTGGTGTTATCCTGAAAGAAGAGAAAGAAGGTCTTGAAACAAATATTAACACAGGCCCATCCACTGTGACTACCACATGTGGGTAACATATTATTATTTCTATTTCTGCAATCATTTGGAAATTTCTTCAATTAGAAAACATGTGTTGGGGTGTGGTGGTGGTATGGTATCTCAAGCCTGGCAGCTAATAAGTGTTCGGTAATATGTCCCAAGGCACTTTAACATTCTAGGTACTCCAATCATTATCTCAAAAAAATCACCTTAAAATAGAAGCTAGAAGTTCTATACTTCAGGGATATATTTTGAGAGCGGCCAACTTTTCAGGGTCTTTCAATTCATAGCACTTCTCAAATCTCTGGCAGGACCAGCCCTGCTCAACACGTCAAACTGAGAGGTCTCTCTGGTTGCTTCCAGGTGTTCCTCAGCACCACCGGAGGGGCCTGGGTGGTCAGCAGAGTCTTTGACTCAGGGTACCCGTGGGACATGGTGGTCACGACACGATTTCAGAACCTGCTCAGGAATTCCCTCCCAACTCCAGTTGTGACTTGGCTGATGGCAAGAAAGATGGACAGCAGGTTCAGTCACGCAAATTACGGCTTAATACCAAAAGACAGGTAAATATGACATATCTGTCTAGGGCTATTAGCGGGAAGGAGCCTCAATCTTTCCAGTGGCCTATACAAACCAGGCAATAACATAGCAACGTGACCCAATGTGATATAAGTTCCTTGATAAAGGCCGGTTACAGTGGCTCAAGCTGTAATCCCAGAGCTTTGGGAGGCTGAGGTGGGAGGATCACTTGAGGGTAAGACTAGCCTGGGCAACACACCAAGACTCTATGTCTAAAAAATATACATATATTTTTTATTAGCCAGGCACCACTGCACACACCTGTAGTCCTAAATACTCGAGAGGCTGACACAATAGGATCACTTGAGTGCGGGAGTTCAAGATGACAGTGCGCTATTGCACCACGACACTCCAGCCTAGGAGACAGAGTGAGACCCCTAAAAAAAAAAAAAATTATTTGATAATAATAGCTAACTCTTCTTAAATTCTCGATAAGTAGATTATGTATTTCGCCTTGTTGACAGTCCTTTAAGGTAAGTAGTATTATAATCATCCTTCTATTATGGGGAAACTGAGGCTTAGCAAAATTTAGTCATTTTCCTAAACCCACTGAGTAGTAAGTGAGCTCTGTGACTTTGGCAAGTGAGTAGAGCCTCAGCTGCAGCAATCAAAAGAGAGTGATTTGTCTGTGAATTTGCTGACAAAAGCAACACACTTGCCTTGTTTCATCGTGTGGGAAAAATTGAATCCTATAGGTGCCCGTCACAAGTTGCTTCTCTATAGTTGCCTCTCTAATGGCAATGCCTTCTTGCCCTTGTCAACAGGACCTTGTTTTCAGTCTGTCCTTTCACTTACAACCTGTGACTTATCCCATTAACAAGAGCCAAAAGTTTTATTTCCTCATTCATTAAGTTTATACAATGAAAATCCATTATCAGCTGACACCACAACCCGGAGGTCCTGTCTGGTCTCCCTCCAGGATTCATTCTGGACGAATATGGGTCAGGTGGCACCCAGGCCACCACTGATGGCATGCAGCCCCCTCCACCACACACACTTCTGCTTCCCTCTTCCCTCTCTTTATTGTCTCCCTTTCTTCCTTCCTTATTCCTTATCTACCCTCTTTTATCTCCTATGTCCAGGCTCCTCAGGGGTTGTGACTCTTTCCAGTAGAGGTTTTGCTACCATAACCTTTATCTAGCCTGAATGGTGGCTCATGGGGCTATAAAGAATTTGGTTTAATCCCATAAATATTAGAACATATGGAAGAAACCTGAGAAATTATAATCCCTTCTCTCTTAGGCTTACTCATTGACCATTTCCCAAGTTCTTTGCATATATACTATTTCATGTGCTCTTCACCCTACCCAGTGAACTAAGGGTGGAAAGTGCTAGTATCCCCATATTATAGGTGAATAGGAGAAAGCCTATAAGAACTACAAGACTCGCCCAAGCTCTATTAAGTATGAACATTTGGGTAAGAAGCCACTCTTACTACCTCCTACTCGAGTGCCAATCCTGTTTTACCACATAGTCTCTTTCTGTGCATTCCCCAAAATGGCTCACCTTATACAAAATCAACTCACAAATTGTTTGTCTTGTGATTCCCAAGGTACAGCCAGAAAAAGATGATTCTTCCCTTGTTCCTCTAAACACATGCATGTTTTCCTTACACAAGTGCTTCCTAGGAAGAGACTACCAGAGAGAGCATCCAGTAGTTCTCATCAGATAGAGAAGTACCTGGTTTCTCTTGTAGTCCTTCAGTATTCGGCTCTAGCTAGAATGACAGTGACAGCTGAATGCTGAAAATCAGCAAGAAAAACAAAAGTGAGAGGAAGCTCTGGCTTCCTCCCCAGGCTTCCAAACTCTAGAGAATGGTAAGCCTATGGTGTAATCCTTCTTGGACATTCCTGCATCTCCTTCCACAGAAGTAACTTCTACCAAGTCTGACAATTCTTGTCCAACCAAGAGGACAGCCCCAAGATGCAGGGAAGATGAGGAGGAGGGAGGGCTGGCTGCACTGTTCACTAGTAGATCCTTCCTTGTTGGTGTTTTTGTTTAGGACTCAGCTGAAGGAGTTTGTGCTAAACGATGAGCTCCCAGGCCGCATAATCACTGGGAAAGTGCTCATCCGGCCAAGCATAAAGGAAGTAAAGGAAAACTCCGTCATTTTTAACAACACCCCAAAGGAAGAGCCCATTGATATCATTGTCTTCGCCACTGGATACACCTTCGCTTTCCCCTTCCTTGATGAGTCTGTAGTGAAAGTTGAGGATGGCCAGGCATCACTGTACAAGTATATCTTCCCTGCACATCTGCAAAAGCCAACCCTGGCTGTTATTGGCCTCATCAAACCCTTGGGCTCCATGATACCCACAGGAGAAACGCAAGCTCGGTGGGCTGTTCGAGTCCTGAAAGGTAAGCGTATGAGAAACAGCAAGGCATGAGGTTTGGGTTTGCCATGCGAGTTTAGATTTTAGACTGTTACCCAGCTCCTACTGAAAGAAGAATCTTTTGAAAGCCGGGTCCAGGCTGGGCGCAGCGGCTCACGCCTGTAATCCTAACACTCTGGGAGGCAAAAGCGGGAGGATGGCTCAAGTTCAAGAGTTCGAGACCAGCCTGAGCAAGAGTGAGAACCTGTCTCTACTAAAAAGAGAAAGAAAAAAAAGTTTTTTAAGTTTGTAAAATTAAATATTTAAAATTCAAAAAATAAATAAATAAAATAAAAGCAGGATCTATTCTATTGTTCACTGAATTATACTATCATAATGATTTATACCATCACCATCATAAATGATAAAGCAGGGATCAAAAAATATAAGTTGTATCTATGTCTACCTGTTATTTCTTTTTCTTTTCTTTCCTTTTTTTCTCTTCTCTTTTCTATTCTTTTTTTTTCTTTATTTTTAAAGACAGGGTCTCATTATGTCACCCCGGCTGGAATGCAGTGACTATTCACGGGCATGATCATGGCTCACTGCAGCCTCGAACTCCTGGCTTCAAGCCATCCTCCCACCTCGGTCTGCAGAGTAGCTGGGACAACAGGTGCATACCACTGCACCCAGCTACCTGTTATTTTGACTAAGACAAAATAACAGTTGACACTTCTGTCAGTTGACTGAATCAAACTGGTTCAATTAAAATTTTAAAATTCAAGCAAGTGAGTGACAAAATTCAGGCAAAGCCAATGGAAGGTTCTGTCATATCAAATAACTCCTGAGACATCCAATGCTTATCCTTCCAGCTGATGGCACTATTACCAGGAACATACCACACCAGTCAGCTCAGGCTGCCAACATTTTTGGCAAGAGAATAGATGAGTGGCTGGTTACTAGAAATGAAAGAAGAGCAGGAAAGCATCTTTATCCATAAGTAAACAGCTAGACCTAAAGTTAAATTGCACTTTTTTTTTTGTCTTACAGGTGTGAATAAGTTGCCACCACCAAGTGTCATGATAGAGGAAGTTAATGCAAGGAAAGAAAACAAGCCCAGTTGGTAAGTTAACTACTAATGCTTTATGAAATTGGTAAAAACTATAGCAGAGAGGTGAGAGTTACATTAGAGGAAAAAGAAGCGTCGGAAACTTAGAGGAAAGATACTAGGACAGCCTGTTTAAGAAGAGAGGAGGGAAAGGAAAATTGAAAAGTTTCAATGTCCCCAGAGTCAACACTTCAGACAGACCATGGCTGTCTAGCAACACCTGGAGTCTGGATTCCAAACCAAGTACTGTGTAGCTAACCTTCACCTACCATGCATATTATTCCATACCTCATGCATAATCAGCAGGCAAACAATTGTGCTTATCCACTGTGACACTAGAAGTGTCTGCTCATTCATTGATTCAGCAAGTCTTTATCAGCTCTATTGCATTTATTAAAATTGCTGCTTTTGCTTTTCATTTTTAAATGGTTGGGGAAAAAAGAAGAAGGAAAAGAAGATTTTGTGGTATGTGAAAATTATATGAAATTTAAATCACATTGGCCATAAATAAAACTTTATTAGAACACAACCATGCCCATTCGTTTACATAATATCAATGGCCACTTCGGATGACAACAGCAAAGTTGAGTAATTGACACAGTAATGTGGCCCCCAAAGCCTAAGTAAGACATTTACCATCCAGCCTTTTTTCGGAGTCAGGTTGTTGACCACTCCTCTAGAGGAGGGGCTTCCACTTGCGCTGTGTTTTGTGGCTGCCACTCAAGAGCCAGGGCAGAGGCCAGCGAAGGCAAGGAGTCCTGGCCCTCTACTGTCACTCTCCATCCAACCAAAACATTTCCAATTTTATCCACCTTACTGTTTTATCTGTTTTGGGCTCTGATATAAATTTTCACTTTAAAAAGAGATTCTGTGGCATGAAAAACGTTTTAAAATCGCTGCATTTAAGGAAATTGTTATCGCTTCTCCCATTCATATACATTCCCAAACTTCCAGGTGTTGATCTGTTCTTGTCAAAGTACCAAATTCCAAAACAATGAAAGCATTTTAGACGTCTCTTCTTTATCCTCAACCTGGAATGTGATTTGATCTCCATTGTGAAACTCCAGTATAATAGATAACTAATTAGAACTATTAACACTACATGGTGTAATATCTTCTTATCACATAGGTCAGCCAATTATTTTAGGGCCTCAGACCAGCATTACAGGGAATTCCACCCTATGGATTTTTGCGGCTTTTTACATTATTTTTTACATTAAAATCTATTTAATTTTTGAAAGATTTAGAAATTGTAAAATATGTTTTCCTCTAGAAAATGCTAACCAATTCACAAAAGAACTAAAGAAATTCTAGCTATGAGTATTCAGAGCACCCACTGAAAGCCATATGTATAAAGTATCTTTTGAAAAGGCTCATCTTCTATTTCAGAAATAGAATGAGACCATCAGATAGCTATGGGTGTAAAGGGGAGAATACAGGAACCATTCCAAATTTTGCAGCAGCATTTGTTTTTTTGGGGGGGGGCACTTTTACTTGTTCAAAGGTTATCATTATTTTATTTTTTTGTCTTCCTCTTTTCTCCCAATCTTCTTTTTATAAAGGTTTGGCTTGTGCTACTGCAAAGCTTTGCAAACCGATTATATCCCCTACATAGATGAACTCCTGACCTATATCAATGCAAAACCCAACCTGTTCTCTCTGCTCCTGACGGATCCACGCCTTGCTCTGACTGTCTTCTTCGGGCCCTGCTCACCGTACCAGTTCCGCTTGACTGGTCCAGGAAAATGGGAAGGAGCCAGAAATGCCATCATGACCCAGTGGGACCGAACACTGAAGGTCACCAAATCTCGAATTGTACAAGAATCCCCATCTCCCTTTGAGAGTTTACTTAAACTCTTTAGCTTTCTGGCTTTGCTTATAGCTGTTTTCCTGATTTTTCTATAGGAAAAAGATTTCCTAAATGGCAGATGCACAGAGTAAATTTACAATGCTCTGATTCCTCTGTTACAGCAAGAAGGCCTTCACAGTTATAAACCACATCTGAGTAGTGAGGGCCGCCCTCTCCCTTCCCTGGCTGCCTCTACGGCTACCCACCACTGTACCCTAAGCCTCTCCCAGCTCCACTTACGTCTAATGCTAGGGGATGACAACTCAGATTTCTGTGCATTTGAAGGCCGTTGGAAGGTTCCAGGTCCATTTTAAGAAGAAAGCTGTTCTTGACGGCACTCTGAGCAGTCATAATTATTTTCCATATAAACTATTTTCATAGATCTCAACTAAAACCCTCCACTTTATAAAAGATTGGGTTGTACTAGAATGGTGCTTTTATAGTATTGACTGATTAAAAAAGAAAGAGAAAAAAAAAGAAACCTAGAAATTGATTGTTTCAAGTGGTCTTTTGTTCTCTTTTTAAGGGTTGGGGAAATAGAGATGAGGATGAGGAGTCTATGAATAAATCCATAAAAGGAGAGGGGGGGTTCAATGAGTTCATCTGAGAGTTGCCAAAGGAATGTACCTGCCTGAGACTGTTCATTCCCCCAGAACACTCTCTGTGAGAAAACAGGTGCTCCAGCTGGCATATCAAAGATCCACATGAGATCTACTCCACATAAAACAACCACCTCTACAGGCTCTTACAGCTGGCCTGTAGCACAGGAAAAAGGCAGCCTTCTCAGATACTCCTTTACACCACTGCTTTGATAGGCAGGTAGAGCTGCCTTCTCTTAAAGAGTCAACCAGAACCAACCAAATTTGATTGGAATTCATTAGAAAAACATCACAGCCAAAAGGTCTTTAATAGAAAGAAAGGGGGTGGGGGGAGGAAAAAGGAGCAAACACAAATATTATATCAAAAGCAATTTTTGCCCAGACTAGACCCAGGCTGTCTCACAGTTACATCTGATGAAGATGTGACTCACAGCCAGGAAAGATTTTGCTTTCGCTTCACCTCACGGATGGACTTAGATGGCAAACCTCACCTCATGAAGACGTCCACAGTTTGGATGGAGAGAGAGGGTGCAAAAACTGTGGAGTCAGGAAAGAGTAAGCTCTGTAGATAAGTACAGAAACAGATCACTTCTCCAGTTTGGTCTGCTAACTCCTCAGTATCATCCCATTTCTTACCTTTTCTCCAATCTATTCCACTTCTTAGCATAGCGATTCATGATGAAAAATTTCCCTACCAACTACAATCTCAGTTACTCCTGAAAATTATTTTCTCTCCATTGAAGCAGAATTGACATTTTAGCATTCCTCATGAAGCTGGCTGGGGAGAAGTTTGGTGCCCAGTGTGAGACAGGGCAAGGCAAATTCACCAGGGCCCCATGTCAAACCAAGAGGACACAAGCTGGCACCTGAACCTAATGCCACCGGCTGTACTGGGAGACTAAATATACAAATGGACAATGGCCAGATCACCTACAGCAATAGAACTCTGACCCACAACTCTGCAGCAGTGAGCTCACACTAGTCAGGACTTGGTCAATGAGTACCAGCTTCTCTAATTTTTGCTCCTGCTTCCAACTCAGAACCAACCACAGAAAGCCAAATAAGCTCCCCAAACCAGTCCCACATGATGTCTAACTTCTAGTTAACCTATCTCCACCTTCCCTATGCCAACAACCACCAATGAAAGTACACCTACAGCCCTCCTTTTTTTTTATTATTTAAAAAAAAAACACCCTGCACACCTTTGAATCTATGCCAAATATTAGTTATGGTGGCTGAATCTTTTGCTGTAGCAAGCTCTGTCTCTACTTATTTCAGCAACACATAACACATATTACATAGAGGTGTGACACACCTAAAGACTATAACAATAGTTGTAATGCTGCACATTTTACACTACTTTAAAACTAATAAAGTGTCAACCATTATCTCATTTCATCCTCACAGTAATAATTGTGTGTTTGGTAACGCAATTGTACTACACAATTTAACGCATAATAAAACTCAGACAAGGACACGTCAATTGATTTGTCCAAGGTAACAGAGGTACTAAGTGGCTGAGTCAGAATATGAGTCTCCAGAACATACATCCAGGGCTCTGTACCATTTAAGCCTATCGTTTCCAATGTTCAAATGACTTTGTAAGTCTGAGTGGTGATATCATGAGAGTCATATTACAATAATTTTACTCCTTAGCCAGGCGCTGTGGTTCACGCCTATAATCCTAGCACTCTGGGAGGTCTAGGCCGGAGGATGGCTCAAGGTCAGGAGTTCGAAACCAGCCTGAGCAAGAGCAAGACCCCATCTCTACTAAAAATAGAAAGAAATTAATTGGCCAACTAAAAACATATATAGAAAAAATTAGCCAGGCATGGTGGCGCATGCCTGTAGTCCCAGCTACTCAGGAGGCTGAGGCAGGAAGACTGCTTGGGCCCAGGAGTTTGAGGTTGCTGTGAGCTAGGCTGACGCCACAGCACTCTAGCCCAGGCAACAGAGTGAGACTCTGTCTCAAAAGAAAAAAAAAAAGAATGTTACTCCTTGAAAGTATATGTAAGTCCCTCTCCCTTTCTCACTCTCCCTATGAGTGTGTGAGGATTCGTCTCTCTGCCTGTCTCTGTTGATGCATTATATCTCTCCCACTGTTGTCTGGGATTTCATATCTTTCCCTTTACATACACCTATATGTTTTTGAATCCATGGGTCTGAATCTCCACATGCATCTTTTCCCCTGTTTATCCCTCCCTCTTTTTTTATGACTATGACTATGCTAGGCCTGTGGCCATAGTATAGAACAGACTCAATAGAAAGAAAGGTTTCTCATTTCTAGTCTAGAAATTATTCCAAACACCATACTGAGAAACACTATCACTTTTCCCATTCAGAAAAAGAAAGAGAACTAATTTAGTTAGTTCCCAGAAATCTAGCAAAGGAAGAAACATACAAAACACTTCAGTGTTGCTAACTCTGTTTCTTATAAACCTTTTAAATCAGAAGAGCTTCTGAGGCATTTACTGCCAAAGGAAATTTTATATTTTCTGAAATTTCTTTTTTTTTTTTTTTTTGGAGACAGAGTCTCACTTTGTTGCCCAGGCAAGAGTGAGTGCCATGGCATCAGTGTAGCTCACAGCAACCTCAATCTCCTGGGCTCAAGCGATCCTTCTGCCTCACCCTTCAGAGTAGGTGGGACTACAGGCATGCACCACCATGCCCAGCTAATTTTTTCAATGTATATTAGTTGGCCAATTAATTTCTTTCTATTTATAGTAGAGACGGGTCTCGCTCTTGCTTAGGTTGGTTTCGAACTCCTGAACTCAAACTGAAATTCTTTTTTTTTTGAGACAGAGTCTCACTTTGTTGTCCAGGCTAGAGTGAGTGCTGTGGCATCAGCCTAGCTCACAGCAACCTCAAACTCCTGGGGCTCAAGCGATCCTTCTGCCTCACCCTCCTGAGTGGCTGGGACTACAGGCATGCGCCACCATGCCCGGCTAATTTTTTCTATATATTAGTTGGCCAATTAATTTATTTCTATTTATAGTAGAGATGGAGTCTCGCTCTTGCTCAGGCTGGTTTCGAACTCCTGACCTTGAGCAATCCGCCCGCCGCAGCCTTCCAGAGTGCTAGGATTACAGGTGTGAGCCACCGCACTGGGCCTGAAATTCTTTTTAATAGATATAAACATCACCCCCTGCTGGACCAATCTTAAATAAAGTTGACTATTTTCTTATAGACTACTTTCTTATAGATCTTTCGAGATGTCCCACTGTGCAGTGATGCTTAAAGAATCAAGCCCAGTGGAGGGACAGTGGAGAGACTGTGCTTAGGAGCATGGGCTCTGCCACTTACTACCTCTGTGACCTTGAACGAGTCACTTGCTTTTCCTAAGCCAAGGTTTTGTCTCAAATAATATGGAAGTGGATCAAGATGACCAACTAGATACAGGCAGTATGTGCCTCCTCCAGAGAGAGGAAGCAGAATTATGAGCAGATTCTCACATTTCAAACAAATCATCTAGGAGAGAATGCTAGGATTCACCAGGGAAGCTAAGGGAAGCAGTGGGTAACAAAAGGGTTCAAGGCAACTTGCCCAGCCAGGGCCTGGCTAAGAGCAGAGAAGCTCCTAGACAGGGGGAAACAGCAGTATGAAAGAAGCCCCCAGGTCTCCAAGCTCCAAGACAAACGTTCATGACTTGGCTACTAGAGAACCCACCGAACCACAAGGGTCTCAGGCCTAACAGGGGGAGCTGCTGAGAGACTGCACGGAGATGGTGCTCCAGGTAGGGAACCCATGCAGACTCCCACAGGCATCCAAGCCTAGAACAACTTAAGCCAGGTGCCATTTTGAGAAGCCAGGGAACTGTGGGTGCACTGCAGCCACTGTGCAGCCCCAAAGAGCACTAGAGGAGCCTAGGCACGCCCACGCACCCCTGGGAAGGTCCCCACCCCCCTGCTGTGGGCTACTGCTCAGACTGAAACATGGGTAGACAGTGTTTTCCACAGTCTCTTGTGGAGCACACTGCTTGCCTGGGTGAGGCTCCAGCCTTTCCAGACACATGTCCTGGGCATCATTTTAAGAGTTTGACACTGGGCTGCACTCCACCCCTGGGCTGAATTGGGGCTGATGTGGCTACAGCCCCTGCCTGGCTGGGGAGGAGCAGGAAAGCCAGGCTTTCCAGCACACATCTGGGATGGTGCCCACCATCCCGCAGCCAGCTGCCGTGGGACCACGCCTCAAGTGGACTGCCCTCCACACAGCTGCCCGCCAGAGAGGCCTGCCGAGAAGGGCCCCACCCTCCCTGTCCTAGGCCCAAGGCACCGTTTTGAGAGTTTAAAGTCGAGCAGCGCCCCATCCATGGGCTGAGTTCGGGCCGATGCAGCTGCAGCTGTCACCCAGCTGAGGGGGGATGGGGAGCCCACGTTCTCCTGTGAGACTGAGACATGAGCAGACTGCCCTCCACACAGTTTCTTGCCTACGCCGCTTGTCTGAAGGGGGCTCTGCCTTCTTTGATTGCAAGCCCACGGCAGGTGATATTTTGAGAGTTTAACACTGGGCTGGGCCCCTTCTTCAGTCCTAATTCAAAGTGATGTGGCCACAGCCACCATCCAGCTGGGAGGGGACAGTGGAGACTAAGCTCTCCTAAGCAGGCTTAGGAAAATACCCACTGCCCTGTTACAAGCTAGGGGACCAGGGACTAGCCTGCCCAATCCATTGCAGCTCCAGTAACACCAACATGGACTACTTGGGTCCTAGTGGCTGGCTCCACCACCACTACTGCTACCTCCTCCTTCTGAAGTCCTACCCAAGGACCTGAGAACCCAAGGACCTTGGGCACCACAAGCCCTCTGCTCCAGCTACTAGTTTCTGAGCAAGCCACCTAAAGCCCCCAAAATTACCCCCCGCCCAGGACACACTAACACCACTGCCAGTGTAAGTTGCTCTGGGA